CAGTAATTACAAATCGAGTACATTATTTCTTGTTGTTCCCAGGAGTTGGAACTGCTTTGTATATAAAGTAAGCAAATCTACACTATAAGAAGTGCATTGGAGGGGTGACTTGGTGGTTAAACACACTGTCTCTCATAGCATTAAACTGTACACACTAAAAGGTCAGAGATTCAATTGCCAGCCTATGCTGAGTTTGCTGATCTCAGCTGGAGCACCTGTGGAGGGAATTGCAATTGATCTTAGCATTGCTGGTTGAGGGAAGAGAAAAATCTGCCACAGCTTTTCACTCTGAGCGCTATCTACTGAACCCTTCTGGAAAATACACACGTGTGAAGATTCGGGGAGAACACAAACTCGACTGTGATCCCCTGCCCCAAATTCAAGTAGCTTGCTGATAGCTATGCTCACACCTGAAAAATGACTATTTGGATGATGTAGTTTGGGTAATCAAACAGCTGCTTATGGAGCAATATCCCATGTAAGACTCAACACATTCAGTTAAGGGAAAGGGAAGAAAACAGAAGAAATAAATTATACAATCTCATATCTGTATATCCAGTCTGTCTGTCTGTCTGTCTGTCTGTCTGTCAATCAATCAATCAGAGGGCATTAAATGACTTTACACTGAATTTAAATGACTTCTCACAGCTGTCAATGGGGTCTTAAAAAAATATACAATTTCTAACAGGATTTTTTAAAATTATGGAATAAATGCCTTCTACACATCCCTAGTCCTCTCCAATCCATCATCAGCAGCCATGCTTTTTAGCCACTATCACCCGAAACTTTGGAACTCTGCCTCAATCCTCCTTACTCTTTCATTTTGCCTATGATCACCTCCCCTCTCTTCCCGGCTCAGCATCAAGCTCCACCACTGTTTAAGCACTCAGACTCAAACTGCCTGAAGGAGCTATATTATTGAAAGTTGTTGGTGTTGATTCCTGTTAGAAACTCTTACCAAGTCAGTTACAATACAGAATCTACGCTAGCCTGACTTTGATTACAGTCTTACTAGAAATACCTCATTAAAGATCCCTTTGTACCTAAAATTATTTGAAAATTATAAAGAGAGGAATTTCAATGGCAACCTTAATACCACTACTCCTCTCCATTTAATAATCTGATTGAAACTCAGCCTTGCTATTGAATCCATCTTTCCCTTTCTCTGCCTCAGCTGCCCACATCTGGTTTGATATATTGTCGTGACGATGTAAATGCCTATTTGTCTTTCAAGAATTACATTATTTTGACGTAATCCTTTTTTAAAAAAAAAGCTTTCTGCACATTGAGGCAGTAGCCTAAGATTATGATGGTTGCTAGCAAATGGTGCTGAGTAAACAAAGTAATATGTTTGACATCTGGTTTGATATATTATGTTGAAAATGTATGTGCCCTTTTTTTCTTTTAAGAAGAAATGCAAGCTATTTTAACAAAATTTTCTTTTTTTAAAAAGATTTCTGCCTAAGATTATGATGCTCGCTAGCAAAATGTGTTGAATAAATAAAGTAATATGTTTGATTGGAATTCATTTCTACTATTTGATACTATTGATAGTGTCTATTACAATCAACAGCAAATAACCGCAGAGTGTCTGATTTAAGCATTCAGAAGTCATGTGTGCAAGATTATATTTTGCCCTTGTTCATGAAATCATATTAGTTATTGGTAAAAAGTCTTTAAACCTTTATAAAGGCAGGATCTTTACTTTTAGATTTACAATTTAACTGTGCGGCCTAGAGAAAAAGTTTCAGTTTAGGATTTTGAAGTTTAAAAGCCAAATGTGGGCAACCTTTTTTGTGGGTGAACTTAAGATGGATCACAGATGCTGCGAAGTCCTTCCTAACCTAAGGCTATATGTGGCTGCACAGCTTGCCCTCAGGTAAGGCTAGCTCAGTGTCCTGGAATTTAGTGATTTCAGCAGATGTAGTCAAGTCTTCTGTTAACATTAGTCCTAATTAAATGATAATGACTCAGTTAATATTCCACACATCTTAGCCAAAGTCCCAGAAGAAATAGGTTACTGCTTTATGAGGAAGACTGAGACAATAAGCAAGTCAAAACTGGATATTAATACCTCTAGTAAAATACGGATTTTTTGTCAACTGGTGTCTGGCACAAGCAGAAACCCATCAGTATCTAAACCAGACTAAGACTTCTACACATGCATTAGATCTATTTTTCCTGGAAATTTCCCTGTTTCTGGATGGAATGCATATTTTATCCCTGGAGGGACGCACCCTGCTTATCTAATTCTGTAAAGTATTTAGGTACAGGTTAGCAAGAACTAAGCTTGGGGAATCCATTATGTTCTTTGGAGTACTGCTGGAGTATAACAACTAAAACCATATAGCTTGACATTGACAGTTCTGTCTTACAAACTTCTTGCTGCTTGTTGAGTTAGGACCAGGAGCTGAGTCGGAAGAATCCCTGCTCCCATTGACATGTCTACTCCTGCAAGTCGTGCCAATGCAGCAGGCTGGCTGGTCTGTCATCAGCAGTACATTTGAGTACTGCAAACTCCCCTGGCCCAGAAACCAGATGACCGAGACCACCACAGAGAGCTGACTTGATTCCAACATTCCATTTCCAGACCCATCACCTTGGAGCCAGCTCAGCCCCAAGGAGATCCCACTAAGATCTTCTGAAGCAGGATAAAATATGAATATCATCAATGTTCTTAATATTAAATAATATACAGCTTGAATGTTCAACAACTTTCAATCTTCAGAATATAAAATTGTAAAAAGTATTTTTGCAATTGCATACCGTAGTATCAGTTGTTTGGTGGCATATTTCATCAAGTTCTGTATTATTATCAATTATTCCCTCAAATGTCCTCCAGTCATTTTTGTATGGGTTCCAGATATGAGCAGCCCTCTAATTCCTTCCCAAACATTCCTTACTTCATATATGGGCATAAACAATTAGTGTCAGTAACTGGAGCTAATCCTCAAATTTTCCTTGCCTCTCATTTATACAGTATATTCTGTGAAGTGCTTTGAGACTTCTTGAAGACGTGATAAGACTCAATATCGTATGTAAGGATTTATTTTATTATTATATACAGTACTTTCCAGTAAACCTCACTGGATAGCAATCATCAGGATGAACTACGGCTGATTTGCCCGCTTCCAACACCAGGAATCCTATAGTATACCCCACCTTTACAACATCTAAGGTCACTTAGCATGGCTAAGGATCAGTCCTGGAATTAGGTCTACAATAATAATAATAATCCTTGCATTTGATACAGCACTTTATCACAACTTTGAGACTTCTCAAAGAACTTCACAGAATATACTGCAAAGTATATTCTGCATATTTTGTGGGCGAAAGAAGCCAGCCAATTGCACACAGCAGTGTCCCACAAAAAGTCTTGGATTGAGTAGCTACATTATTATTATTTTAGCTCAGCGGTTAGAGCACTCGCCTTGCAAGCGAGAGAACTGGGTTTGATTCCTGTCAGAATCAAACCTTGGGCAAGTTTCCTAACTCCACACTCCTGATAATAATCCCTCAAGGAAAACAAACAATAATAAAATTGGTCACTTCAATCCACGACTGATTGTGGGACACTCCGGTTCACCCACAAATATATAGTCAATTCACTTTACAGTATATGCTGTGAAGCACTTTGAGACGTCTAGAATATGTGAAAAGCACGATATCAAATGCAAGGATTATTATTATTATAGTTTAATAATAAATGGCACAGTAGCGACTGATCCATAAAAGAAGGAATCATTTAGCTGTCAACTTGGCTCAGTTGGTAGCAATCTTGCCTCTGAATCTGAAGGTTGTAGGTTCAGGTTCCACTTCGGAGCTTTTGAACTTACGACTGACATTTCAATGAAGTGCTGCATTGTCGGAGATACAGTCCTTCAGATGAGACATTAAACCAAGGTCCCGTCTGCCTGTCCAGGTGGACAATAAAGATGCAGCAGTATAATCCAAAAAGAGAAGGGAGTTTCTCCCAGTGTCCTGGCTAACAATTCCCCCAAATAAAATTGGTCATTCACTCCATGGTTATTTGTAGGATATTGCTGTACACAAATTGGCTGCCGCGTTCGCCCACAAATATACAGTCAATTCACTTTACAGTGTGTTCTGTGAAGCGCTTTGGGACGTCCTCCCGACGTGAAAAGCGCTATATCAAATGCAAGGATTATTATTATTATTATTATCCTGTGAAGTGCTTTGAGGTGTCTTGGCAATGTGATAAGATGCTATATCAAATGCAAAGATTATAATTATTGTAAACAAATATAAGGATAATATGTATTTTCTGCTATTTAACTGTACTTAACTTTATTATTCAATATACTTTAAGTGATCACATTATAATCATTAGTCCTTTAATGCAAATATTATCACATCTTAAATACATGGATTGTACCCAACAACATTAACCTTGACACCCACCAATGTATAAAATAAAAAAGGACAGACCTGTTATAGAAGCCTTATGAACACCTCAATGAGATGAGTAACAGGCTACGTTGTGAAGAACAACATATGTCTAGCACTCACTTGAATTATTGACTACTAGGTCTCCAACAGACATGTGTTATCCTGTAATCACACCCCCAATGTAGCAAAATATTGAATCACAGGAGACTAATGGAGAGATACCACTTATAAGGTATAGGGGGTGCAATTGGGATCTTGTGGGATATAAGCATAGGGCATACCTTAAAACAACAGAACTTCAGATTACTGCCCACATTATTTTTTTGTTAAAAACAAAACTCAAATCACCTCCAATGGAAAGATCAAGCTGTTTGTGAAAATGCATGAAAAGCATTTTAATGCAGGAAAACCCATATGTCTTTTTACGTAGATTTTGGTACTATTTTTCTCAAACCAAGTTAAAACTTTTTTTTAAATGTCCATGTCATATATTTTATCAAAAAACTAAATATGATCACAAAGTTCATCTACTTTATAAAGGTGATTCAAATCAGCAAGTGAAGAGTCAAATAATACTTTTTTTCCCTTACCTTACTGTATTGACCAACAACATGCTTAAGGATATTGGAAGGTGCATCTTGTAGCAATGGATCTAGAGCTTGCAGATATGTGCATTTCTGCAGGATGTTCTTCAGAGCTTTTTTCGCCTGTGGAAGTGGAAAGTAACAGTGAAATCCTAAGGCATCTGCTCAAAACAATGTTTGGAATTTGCAACCTTCATGTCCTGCATTCCTGGGATTGGAACATTGGCTCAGTCAGCTCACTCATGGAGTTCTGAAATGAGACACTATCAGCATAGTCAAGCACATAATTCCAATGTATTTTAAAATCAGCCTGAAAAATAACATCTAAATAAATTCAAAATAAAATAAGATGGAAAAAATTGTAAATTGATGTTCATACAATTCACCTCATTCTTCAGTATGTGTGCTTAATGATATGGTTTAAAGGAATCAAACTCTGCATTATCACTGTAGGCTCACTCCTAGATTTTGATTTGAGCTTTTTTTTACATTTTAAAATAAATACTAATATATTGCAAACGTTTATTTCTTAGGCAGCAAAAAGATATATATGCACTTTTTCACAAATACACAATGGCATAGAATGAAATAGGTCATACTAGAATGTATAATACATTTGAAAACTGAAGTAAATCCCCTATGATATCTGGAGTTTGCTTTCCTATTCCTTGTTGTGAAAAAATCTGGGATATTTTTGTGAATTTCTTTCACACTATTCAGAGCTAGTGTAAACTGTGTATGTCGGACATGCAGAAAGTCTAGAACTAGTTTCATATCTGACAGCTCTAGGTCATGCAGAAGGTATAAACATCTTTGTAACCAAAGGAGCAGAAAATGAAGTACCAGAATAAGTAGAAAACATCTAATTTCTGCTGTTATATTATATAGTTAATGACATTTTTAATATACTTCTTATATGTGAAGGTGCCAGTAGAACAGCAATGCTAGTTCAATCTTCTACAGACTTAGTTAACTTCTAGATTGACAATATTGCAGAACCCTAACAATCTATTTCTTAAGCCATAATTATGCTGAGTTGAGGAACGGGTAATGTGGAATGTTATTGGTTCTACCTCAGGTCACCCAAAGCAGCTTGCACAATTTACAGCAGTTCCACTGCAGACAAACTGGCTCCAAAATAAGAAGCACACACAGATCACTATAACAACACAGCAAAAGAGACATCACGTCATGACATTGCAGCCTGATATATCCATTACTAATTGTAATTTGAAACTGTGATAGCTGGGATTTTGATATTTTCTCTATCAAAGGTATTCCTTATACAACCAGTTATCAATTGGCTGCTGCGTTTCGCCCACAAAATATACAGTCAATTCACTTTACAGTATATTCTGTGAAGCGCTTTGAGACATCTTGAAGATGTGGTAAGGCGCTATATCAAATGCAACGATTATTATTATTATTAGCAAATCAAATAATATAAGCAGGACAATCATTCAATACAAATTACCTACAAATAGCTATGAAAGTTATGAACATTTCTTGATAAGGCTAAAATAGTAGATATTTTAATTACACCTTCTTCCCTGTGATTGTCCCACTAAACAAGCAATCAACACAGAATTCTGAAACTTAACAGGACACTTTCATGTTTAGAAAATTATGAATTAAAAATAGTGGTGTAAAATTACAATAAGTGACATCAGGAGTGACATTTTACTGGTCTGTAAATGTATTGATGTTATTGTCATACTCTTAAAGAGAATTCCCATTAGAATTGCATGTTGCCAAAGTAGGTAACTTTACTGAACAGTGGAAATATGCATCCCTCATCTTTAAAACATAGTTGAAATTTGCAAAAATTTCATATTCCCAAACTACTCATGAAATGGTCACCAAGGCAAGTGAAATCGATAGGTCCTAACAGGAGGCATTGACCAGACATGGGTAGATGAACTATCACAGTTGGACTTATTCACATTGTTTAATAAGTCTAGAATGCACTCACTGACTGAAAGGGTGGTGGAAACAGATTCAATAACAACTTTCAAGGAGGAATTAGATAAGTACTTGAAAAGGAAAAATTTGCAAGGTTTTGAGGAAAGAGCGGGGGAGTGGGACGAATTGAGTAGCGCTTCCAAAGAACCAGCACAGGCATGATAGGCCGAATGGCCTCCTTCTGTGCTGTAATATTCTATGATTCTACGTGTCCAGCAAATGTTGGATAGACAGGAGCTAATCAGGAATTATCCCACAATATACAATAAATTCACAAATTTCTAAAACATAGTACCATGATTACAGTTTCTGACTAAGTCACCTTTTGGTGAGTATAGCAGCCATCAAATTAAGAGAAAACAGTGGTAAGTAACTATGACCATCAAACCTGGTCAGAATTGCTTCTGCATGTCTGTCCTAAAAAAATAGCTCCTTATACTGAAGTATTAGGAGGCAGGGGGAAACTAAATATTCCACTATAGCTTGAAGCAATCACTACATCCAGTGGAAGTATTGAATAAATAATACAAAAGAAGGAAATCTATTCCATAGTACAATCAAGAAAGGAATAAAACAAACAAAAGAATTCTAATCATTTTAGACTATATCTTCCATCCTGCTTTAAATCTTAAAAAATGCTATTTTACACTGAAAACAACTTGTATTTGCATAGTACCCTGCATGCGGATAGAATTTCAGAGCACCTTTACACTACATATTCCAGCATGAATTCAAATATATAACCCTTCCTTCTTTGATTCCCAGGTCATGCAGCTGCTTATCCCTCATAACTCACCAAATACAATTTTATTAACATAAAAAGCAAAAATGAACAACTCTGTAGGAGATATTATTTCCAATATATGATACAACTATATCAACATAATTATAATATACAAAGACCCAAATTTCTGGGTAAACACTTTCCAGATCAGTTGCAGGCAAAGCACTTACTCTTAGTTTGAACTCTATTCTTTGTATGTCCAATTTATATGTCCAATACATGCAATACATATTGGAAGATAATAAACAGCCTTCAGGATGTCATGACAATTAAATTTTATAAAATACAATTTCTTTCGACATACAACTATAAAGTATTTCAACATTGTCTCCAGTAAAAACTATATTTTCAATATAGAAATAGATTAAAGTTCTTGATCTATCTGCTATGTGACTGAGCAAAGACCAAGCACTTTCTTACATGAAGGGAAGGAATTTCAGAGAAAGATTCACAAAGATCAGCTCCCATGTACCTATTAACACTAGTCAGCGATACTAGAAGCTTGTCCTCTTGGCTATGGCAGGTCAGTGGTCTGGAAACACTCAGGCAGGTGATAAAAGGTAAAACAATATAAATAACCAATGCAGTTAAGCAAACAGATTGACCTCACAAAATAAATACATAATCATTGATTTGGGTTTCTCTCTAGTAGTTATTTATCAAGATTTATTTTTTTTAAATTAGCTTTGTTAACAGGGTTCTTTGTGGAGGAGCATAAGCAGCCAATGAACTGGAGCGACGGATTCCCTCATGGGGGCCAATCAGATATGGTAATGCTTTGTCAAGTTTAACATCAAAGTATGGATGATCAAAAGTTATTTGGTTCATCGTAGAAGATCAATCTACCACGACACCTCACAGTAATTCTCTGTGTGACAAGCTTCAGGCACTTCAATGCGATTGTGTGCTGTTACAAATGTAAATACTATTATTAAATCATACTTAATATACAATGTACATTCAGCAGGCCACCGACACCCTCATACCTCATTCATAACTTCCAGGCTCAATTACACAAACTTCTTGCTTGTCGGCCTCCCCAACTCCTCCCTCCATAGGATGTAGATCATTCAGAACTCTGCAGCCTGCGTCCTCTCCCGCACCAAACTCCGTGACCCTATCACCCCCATCCTCGCCCGACTCCACTGGTTTCCCATCACACAGAGGATATAATTCAGGATCCTGGTCCTCATCTTCAAAGCCCTCCATGGCCTTGCTCCCCCTAAGAACCTGCATGCTCCCTCCGCTCAGCAGGCTCCGGCCTGCTTTATGTCCCCTGACTTGCCCACCCCACCATTAGTGGGCGGGCATTCTGCCACTCTGCCCCCAGCCTCTGAAACTCCATCCTGCAGTCCCATCCGCCTCGCCCCCTCCCTTGCCTCCTTCAAAACCCATCTCAAGACCCTCCTCTTCAACCTTGCCTTCGGTCATCCTCCTTCCCCCCTTGCTCTCCACGCTCCCCGATTCCGACCCCCCCGCTCATGTTCGAAACACTGATTGTTCAGCGCCTTGGGACATCCTTCGGACGTGAAAGGCGCTATACAAATGTGATTTTGTTGTTGTTGTTGTACTGTATCATGTCAGTATCCCATCATCTCTACCTTTTCTCTATATCCCTCAACAGCATTATTTCCCAGCTCTCTAGCTAACTGCATTTTAAACATCCCAATTGATTATGGCAGCCAACAATTTCAAAATCTTCAATATGAAGAAACTTGACTTCAAAAGCTTATTATGTAAAACTACACCATTGTTAAGTGGTTTGAGAAGCTACCCCACATGAAGTGCGATATATAAATGCAAGTTCTTGTTGTACTATTAGCAAATTATTAAGAAGAAATAACAGAAAGCTACTGTCAGTTATAGACAGTTGTAAATGCAAACCTAATTACTTTATAGTATTAGCCAAAATTTCTGTCAAATAGCATGTTCTTCTCTTGGTTTGTTCCTGTTGATTACTAATTCAAACAAATCACAAATCTTGATGCTGTTTATTTATCAGTTCAAATTAATGATGGTATGTGGTAAATTATATCCATTCAATATCCTCCATGTCCCCCAACTTGCCTGCCCCACCCACCATTGGTGGACGGGCCTTCAGCCTTTCTGCCTCCACTCTGGAACTCCATCCCTGAATCCCTCACTCACCCCCTCACTCACCTTCTTCAAGGCCCATCTCAAACCTTTTCTCTTTGACCGTGCCTTCAGTCACACTCTCACCCCCACCCACTTACCCTCCACCCCTCCTACCCGCCACCTCTCTTACCTTCCACCCCTCTTGATTCCAACCCCCAGCTCGGATGCAAACCCTTAACTCTCCAGTGCCTTGGAATTTCAACGGGAAACATGCTATATAAATGTAATTTGTTGTTATTGTTGCCACTGAAGGTGTCAGAATAATTGGTCTATCATTTCCATCTTCATATTTCCCTTTGTTTTTGAACATTACTATCCCCAGTCTACAAGTGCAAGCCCAATGTTTGCTCAGTGTTTCCTAAAAATATTAACCAGACTCCCCTAATTTTTGAGCCCTTGAGGATTTAGGAAGATCCCACCTAACCTAGGCACCTTATAGATATTTAATTCATTTGAGTTTCCCTTAGAACACACACATTTTATTGAGGTATTCTTGTGTAAAGGAAATGCCACACTAAATAGAAGCCCTTGATTTGGGTCATTCAAGCCTATTGGATCTATACACTGTTCTACATGAATGTTTGCAATAGATTTATGGAAGAACCTTGTAAACAAACACTCTAGTCCACTAGACTGTAGACACCTGGTAAATTTGACATCAGTGAAATATGTCAGTGAGATGACCCCTGTAGAAGAAATCCTAATGTGAAATATATTCACTGTATCTATTTTTTGTGTGCTATTTTATGATGCTGCTTATAATTTTCCTCTATTTCAAGCTTTATTCAGGAATATCATTCCGTCTACAGTCCAGTGTTTAAATTAATCTGATGAACCAGACATGCTTGTTTGCTTGATATATTGCACAGTCTATTTAAAAGTTAAAACAAGATTTGTCTAAGAATCAAATTTAAATATTCTAAATATTAAGAACAGCAGTAGTTTTTAGAGTGACTTGCTCCCATCACCTTCTTTCAATTAGCTTGTAAAAGTCATTTACAAAGAAGGAGAAATAGGAAAAGTAACATTGTGCAGGTACCTTTTCTTATTGTAATGAACTACTGCCTGTGCAGCCCAATAAAGTGAATGCTGTTTCTTTAAAGCATCTGCACTTTCAGTTTGATGTGCATTCACTGGCTGTCAAAGGTAGAAAAGCTGTCTGGACAATTATGTAGCTGCCCTTTTCATCCTGCCAGCATGAAGACATTTAGAAAAATCAAGAAATGGCAGTACTAGTAATAATCCCTCCAAGACGATTTCAACCTTCACTTCATCCCCTCTGCTGACTTCTCCTCCCTTATCTCCTCCCTCAACCTCTCCCTCCACCTCGTCACCCATGTCCGTGGTCACCCCCTCGACCTGGTGATCACTCGGGGCTTCACCATCTCGAACCTCATCATCATCGACAAAGCAATCTCGGACAATCACTTCCCTTAACTCCTCAATCCCTCTCCCCACCGCCACCCAACCCACCTCCATCTCCTACCGCTCCTGGAAAAAAATCTCCCCCCCTCACCACCTCCCCCCTCGGCTGCCTTGGAGTCACCTGAACTTCTTCCCCTCTGAGCTTCCTCCCACAATGACCTATCTGCCTCAGTCATTCTTCTTCACAGCTCTCTCTCCTCCACTCTGGATTCCCTTGCTACAACAATATAGATCATAAAATCTATTTTTTTAAAAGTTAATCTAAGAAAATATTCTTATGACATTCTGCCTTTAAGAATCACTATATAAATAAACAATGCAAAAGGATATTTCTTATGTGAATCAACATTTTCACCTTTTAGATGGGATGCGAAAAAAAATCGGTCCCTTAGTAATTAAACTTGGCAACGTGGCTGCAAATGGGATGAAATATGACAGACTTGATATATGTTTTACCTTAATCTGAAGGTCTTCAGAGCTTTCAGAATCCATGTAGAGTTCAAGCAGCTTTGGCAGAACATTTGCCACAGCAACAGAACGAGCATGCTCTGGAGTGTGTCTCCCTATCTGCCCCAGGGTCCAAGCAGACGCAGCCTTAATGTGGTCTTCTGGTTCTTCTGTCAGGCAGATAGCCAACTGAGCCACCCCCTGAAGTGTTGATCAGAAGCAAACAGACATAGTCAGAGACACTGAATTTGAGAGGCTTACACTAATAAGCAATTTTAGAAAAAATACACCATTTTTATCCTAATGGCTGAGAAGCAGGCAGTTGTGTCCGTCAAAGCTGGCACTTTTTCAGTTAAAATATCAAGGATAGTGAAATCCTCAGTTTGAAGCACCATTACATATTATACAATCACTACTGTATTTTAAAGTGGAAAAATGCTCAGAAACTGAAAAGCAATTATAGACATTAAGGGAAAGTCACATCGCAACTTGAATCACAACTCTAAGCCCTTAAAGGGCACAAACATTTAATTTGTTCCATTAAAATAAAAAGAAATCAGCCTTCACTCTTAAATGTTTGCATACTTAGGAGAAGATCAAAGGCAGGTTTGTTTCCTAGATTAAAGCATTCAAGAACAAAGAAGGAAGCATTTTAGTAATTCAGAAAATACTAAATCCAGCTGAATTCCAAATTATTTTAATTAAAAAAATGCACTTCCTCTGAGGAAGTGTATGGGGCATCTCACTAGTTCTTTGTCTAACATCATACAATGAGCATTTATTCTGGCATTCTTAATATATTAAACTGCAATATTAGAAAAATAACTAATGAAGGAAAATTTGTATTAATATGTTTAAAATCATCTTTGAAACAATATAAAAATGTTACAATTGTCCACCCCTGGAATTTTCACTCAAAATAACTAGAATTTTTAATTTGTTCACTGTACCGTACCTTTAAGTAAAACTTCTGCCTATTCCTGAGGCAGCTATTATTCTATGTTTAACTTCTTCAAAGGCCATTTCAAACTCCCAAATCTTCATAACATTTTAACGTTAAAGCCGCAACTCGATTTTAATTCCAGATTTGTTTGAGGAATAAAGAAGCAAATACCGTATTCATAAAATTAGCTCATAAGTGAGTTAACACGTGATGATAAAGGCTTTTTTTCGTAGTGTATCTAATTCATTACTACTTTTGTGGCAAAATACAAATCATAAAGGCCTCTGTTTACATAGTGCTTCTTACCTCATTGCCCTAAACGTCTGGACTTCCCGCTTTCTATCCTTGTGTCTTGCCTACCCTCTTTCTGTCTTGCTTCAAATCCTACCTCTTGAAGTGAGCCTCCACCCACCCCACCCTCACCTTGATGTCCAACGCCTTCCCTGTAAAGCCCTCTGAGATGTAACCCTACACAAAGGGAGCTATTTAAGATTTATACACTGCCCTTTTAATTCTGTAATCTTGTTCAATCCAACCTAGATAATAAAATAAAAATGTGGACAATTTCAACCCAATTTGTAATGGACAAAAACCCAACAGCACAAAATAATTTATAAGTTTCTTTGAAAGGTCATTGATTGAGACACTTTGTTGGGCAGAGTACAAGTGGTTGAAATTCCAGTCAGCGTTACAACATCGCCTTTGATGAAGTTGACTGCTAATGGGATTTCCCCATAATAATCTTGTAATGCTAACTGAAATTTCAGACCAAAGGAGCTCTTCTCTGTGTAGCCTGCACTGTTCGGTGTATCAGTGACTAGCGGGCATCAATTTACGTTGGTTAGCAAATGAGCAAATTGGAAAGCTAGGAGAAATATTTTCATGCAAAGAGGGGTTAGGATATGGACTTGTCAGGACTGACAGTTGAGGCAGAATGCATATTAGCTTTTAAAATGGACCTGGATAAATATCTAAAAAGGAGTAAATTGAAGGGATATGGAGAAAGAGCAGGTAAATAGGACTGAAAGGATTACTCGTAAAATGTCAGGACAGCCATGATGAAATGGCATTCTTTTGGGCTGTAAATTTCTATGATTCTATAATTCTATACCTGGGAATGGTGACATTGAGTTCAACGTATGGAAACAAGTTTTATTCTCAATACTAACATTCATTACCTATTGAAAACTCCTTCGTAAAGATATAAGATTAAAATAATTCAAACTTCTTGTTAGTTTACATAACATGCAACTAGTGGTGCAGCTAAACGTTTTATAAACATATCTTCTTGAATATAGGACATGTGTTTGCATGTATATATAAGTTCTCAATCTTGGCTGGGAGGAGCACAAAAAGCGAGTGGAGACAAGATGGTTCCCCAAAGGGGAAAATGAAAAGTCAGCATGTATTTATAAAAAGATGGAAACGTTTTTGTGTGTTTGACATTTTGGAGTTTTTTTCCCGTAATATTATTTGTGTTAATGATCTTTCCCTCTTTATTATTTTTATATAATTCTGTATGAACCATTCTTGATCACAGATTCTGGCAGCTGGGAGGGATACTGAAAATCATAAGTTACTGACAACTCAATATCAGAGTTTAATCATGTGATACAAAGTGTGGGCTTGGAATGTGTGTTTGGAGTGGGGTGAAAATTATATTTTCTTTCTTCCTTCTCCTACCAATAAGACATCAGAACACAGCAACTTTACCACATATAGAACCCTGCCTAGAATTTACATTTTATTTTGGTGCAATCTACTGTATTATTTTCTTCTAATTAAAGTCCTTAAATTAAAGTCTTAATTGCTTTGACACTTCATGGAACTAAATTAAAAACAAAATATTTCTATTCACTGGAACAAAATAAATAAAATCAAGATTACTATAGAATTTATATTTGGAACCTCAATTCTTCTGGGAGTACTAACAACAAATCAATACACTGCACACCAATATGCTTCACAGCTAGTTTAATTTATAGTTCCTTTTCTGGGGCCTCATTGTAATGATAATAGGCAGATAATGAACCAGGCACTAACCTTGGAGACAATCACTGCCATTGCCAGGTTCTCCGAGTGAGCAGCAACATAGCCAAGCATCATGATACCAGGCAGTCTGACATTACCCCTGGAATCACCAATATAATCAATGACAGCAGCCACACCTCCTGTATTAACAATGAGCTGAGAGAGCTAAAGGAAGAAAACAAGATGGTTAGTCAGATTTTAATAAATAAAATATTACCTATATTTCAATACCGTGAAACAGTTTGTTCATATTATTTTAAATAGATGACATTTCAGCATTAGCTAAAGTTATTTTTGTGTATTTGTACTGTCCAATTAACCAACTCATTNAAAAAATGTTTTGTGTTACCCTTTAGCACAATGTCATCATTAATATATTTTGTAGCTCCAGCTAATCTGCTTAAACATTGCTCCCTGAGTTTCTCACAATATTACTCAATGAGAGTGTAAAATCATTATTCATAAATACTACATCAGCACAGTTGCTAATAGATTATTTACCACATGAACTAATTTGTCTACAATAATTGAATTATTGGTAATTATAGCAATTTAAGATACAGAGTAAATAATTATTTCACCAAATACTGTACATAAGTGTTTCAACCAATTGCTTCTCATTCAGATCTACCACTTTTCATACAATTTACAATAAAGTGCATGTGGTGTGTGTCTGGGTGGGGTAGGGAGGACACCTCACAACACTTTTGGTGATCTATTATGTTCATTTCCTTCAGGGCTACAAAACCGTCCTGCATCCAGTGAGGATCTGCCAGTTAAGTAACATCAAGCGATATGTTAGAAAGTAAAACAACTCAGAGGCAGCTAGAGACAAGTCAAATAAAAGTATTGCAGAAGCAAGATGAGAAGTGTCCATCTTAGCTGCAGATGATCTCTGTTGCCATGAAGAAAAATTATTTTCAGAAACACTTTCCCTTTCCACTGCCTTTCTCTATTGTCTATTTGAAATTTAAAAAAAACATAATTTTGATATATTACAATTATAACACATAAAGTATATAAAGACAATTCTATAAGTTTAAATACGATCATCCTCGGGGGTGTTCACGTTCCATTCCAGTCATGGAAAAACCCATGTTACAGTGGCATATATGGAATTCTCAAGTCTGAAATGAAACCTTCTAATCATGGTTATGGGTTTCCACGTGTATCAGACGCCCAGCTGACCACAAAATGATGTCACATCCTGATTGACTACTCAGAATAATGTGTGAAAACGTCTTATTTAATTATGAACTTATTTACATCAATAACATCATAAAACAAATCTGGATGGTAATTGTCATTCTATTAAATACCAGATGGTGACTCTGAGCATCTGTAATAATAAAATAATAATCTTTGCATTTGATAGAGCGCTTTTCACGTCTTCTAGACGTCTCAAAGTGCTTCACAGAATATACTGCAAAGTGAATTGACTGTGAATTTGTGGACGAAACGCGGCAGCCAATTAAGTACAGCAGTGTCCCACATACAGTCGTGGATTGAAGTGACCAATTAATTATTGTTTTATTTTCTTCAGGGATAATTTTCAGGAGTGTGGAGTAAGAAAACTTGCCCAAAGTTTCGCCCTGCCTACCATAACATATATTCCAGCTGCCTATGTAAACACCTCTCCTTATTTTAAAATCACAATTTTAATTTGTTAAAAACTATGTGTATTTTAGTGTATTCTATATTTTTGATATATCAAGGCTGTTTAGGTAGACTTTAAATATACCGTGGCACTTTTTGAAAAGAGAAGGGAATTGCTCCCCATGTTCTGGCCAACAGCCCATAGATAAAATTAATCATTCATTTCATAGCTGTTTTGGATCAATGCTGTGCATAAATTGACCGCTGAGTTTTCCTGAAATTATACAGTCACTACACTTAAGATAAATCCTGAGACGTCTCGACAACATGATGAAGCTAATTACCAAATGTAAGTATTATATGTATGTATATATAGTGCATTAATTATGAAAAATAAATGTAATTATCAAGTTGCCGTTTAATTATAGGAAAATCTCTATGAATATGCGCTCATCAGAACAAACTGTGTTAAGGCATAATCAGGCATACAGCACATTAAAGCCTATACTTTCAAAATTCAAAACTAGATATGAAGTTGTACCTTTATGTCCTAACTTCTGGCTCTGACCTACTCAATCTCCTTGGTCTCCCTCTCAAACTGAACAAATCAGTGTGCAACCTTGGCATCTGGTTCAATCCTCATCTCTCCTTTCACCCTCACATTCAGTCCCTAACCAAAAGTGATTTTCTTCACCTCTGCTGCATGGCTTTCCTCTTCCCTTACACGCCTTCTAGTCCTCCCACCTAGAATATTTAAATGCAAATCATTGCTCGTCTCCATAGCTCCACCATCCATAAGCACCAGTTAATCCAAAATTCTGCTGCCCACATTCTCATTCGCATGAAACTCTGCACAACCATCGCCCCAGGCTCCACTGGCCTGCCATTTTCCAATAGATTGACTTCACCCTCACCTACAAATCTCACCCTCACCTACAAATCTCTTCACATCCTACCACTTCCCTATCTCTCTGTAATCACCTCTTACCCCAGTCCTTTCTTTGCCCCTCCACTTAGTTAACTCAGGCTTACTGCTCGGCACCCATCCCTTCTACAATACCATCCTTGGCCAAACTTTCAACTATTGTGCCCCTAACTTCTGTAACTCCCTCCCTCTATCCCCCTCTCTCTATCAAGTCCTGGATGAGAGCTAACTTTCTATAGTTGAATGTCCACAAGTCCGAGGCCCTTCAGATTGGCTCCCGCCAGCGCTTTCACACCTCAGGCACTGACAACATCACCATCCAAGGATGCACATTCCTCCTCACATAGCCAGTTCAGAACCTTGGCGTCTTGTTTGACCCCCAACTGTCCTTTCTACTCCACATCGGTGCCATGACCCGCTCTGCCTTCCCCCATCTCTGCAATATCACCCGGCTCTGCCGCGGTCTCACACAGCTGGCCGCAGAGACCTTCAATTACGTATTCATAACATCCAGGCTCAACTACACGAACTCCTTGCTTGTCGGCCTCCCCATCTCCTCCCCCCATAGGCTGCAGATCATCCAGAACTCAGCAGCCCGTGCCTCCATCCACGCCCGACCCCCTGGATTCCCATCACACAGAGGATACAGTTCAAGATCCTGGCCCATAGTTTCACAGCCCTTCATGGCCTTGATTCCCCCCTACCTCTGCGACCTCCTAACCTCCTACCAACCTTCTACCAACTTGCCCACTCCCTCCGCTCTGCGGGCTCGGGCCTGCTTCACACCCCGGCTAAGCCCGCCCCACCATTGGCGGGTCAGCCTTCAGCCTCCCCATCCCAACCCCCAGCTCGGGTCCAAACCACTGATTGTCCAGCATCTTTGGACGTCCTCCCAACGTGAAAGGCACTATACAAATGTAATTTTGTTGCTATCTTTAAATCCTGTCTTAAAAACTACCTCTACAATTGTGCCTATGGTCACCTCTCCTTTCTCCTCCCCTTTGCTTGGTGTCGATCTCATCCTTGAAAATTACTCCAAGAAGTTATTCTAAATAAAGGGCGCTGTAAAATTACAAGTTACTATTGTTGTTAAAAAATCAATAATGAATGTCGCCTTTTGTTGAAGACTTAATATGTTAACTGTCTGACTGCAAAGGTAATCATTTGTTGCTTTAACTCTCAACAAAAAATTACAAATGGTAATAATTATTTGCTAATCACTGATTCTAAGGTAAAAGTACTACTTCTGTACTACTACTTTATCCTGGTTGATGGACAAAAATTTTGAAGTTCTAATGTTAACTGTCGCTCCACTTATACTCCTTTAGATTTTAAATATACATTTTTGAGGAAGGTAGAAACTGGTAGTTGAAAATATGGCGACATTTTAAAACACTATTTGTTGATATTAGATCAAGCATAATTGTACAATAAAAAATCCATATCATTAAATATAATGTACTTCAGTTTACCTAGTTTGTCTACATTTCAGCTTTTCCAGCAAGAATATTTAAAATGGGTGCGCAACAGAATTTGATTATATCAAGATGGATTTCTTCACCTGGTTTGTCTCAACTTCAACAACTCAACTTTAAACTGGAACAATAAAATTTTTAACAAATGTAAATTTAAAATCTAGTAGAAATCTGCGAATAGATTTAGCCTAAAACATTTTAATAATAAAATTACTATCCACTATGATTATTCTCTCAAACTATAAATAATAAAGCTACCACAGAGTGCTGAACATATGTTTTCTACAAACTAAATTAATGTTCCAATTTTTTATAATATGTATCACAAAATAATGGATTTAAAATACTATGCACTTCTTTATAATGAAGGCAGCATACAACTTCCAATGTAACCAGCGGATAAATAATTGCATGCCAACATGAAGCTCCGTCTGTGCAACATCTGTGAAAATCTTTCAACCACCTCACTGCACACTTAAAAATCTAATGCCTTTACCTCAGGAGTGTGCTTGGCAATTTCCCGAATTAGAGTTGCAACATTTTTTTTCACATATTCATCTGGGTCCTTTAAGCATGTTAGAACAGCCGGGAAAATTTCTGCTTCTACAACCATTTCTGCCAGGTCCACGGAATGTTTTGCCATCTGACTGAGAGCTGAAAACACCTGACGCTACAGAACAGAAGAAATAGTACAAGTCAAATCAACAAATAAAGGAACTAAATTCAATAAACCAATTACACAGAAGTTTATATGTGCAAAATGCCAAAAATCCACAAAACGGAAATGATAAAAGCAGCACAGTAGGGGCTTTCAAGTGCTTTGTACCAAAAGAATATCCGTCATATCCGATCAATTCTTAAATGGTATACTTTTTGTCTGTCAGAGAACTGAAAAAACAGACACATATAAACATGCTGTTTTAACAAAAGTGAGTTACTTTAACACTGAATGTAGTTATTTCATTTGAGCTTCTGTTTACTTTATGCATCCACTAACATCTATTTGATGTATTCACTTGTACAGATAAATAGTATGATTTTTGCAGTAAAAATGCTCACCTTCAGTTTAGCATCAGGATTCAGGATCATCTGAGCTAGATGAGCAATGGCCCCTGCATCCACCGCAGTCTGAGCAAGCTCTGGGGATTGTTTTGAGATATCACTGAGTGCAGAAGCTGCAATCCTTTTCAGTGCCACCTCTGGCTCCTGGATACAAAGAACCAAAAGAGGAACAGCTCCCGCATCCACCACTGCCTGTGACAATTCTGAGGGTCCAAGAAAAATAATTAAGTGAGTATGGATAGATGACCCTTGAGCCATTTTTCACCCTGTCAGATACAGCAAGAATAAAAAGAGGCACAGCCCGATCTCTGCTGCATCTGCATTTCAAATCAGCTGCCTGGCTTCATAGAGTATGTCGACTGATCCATAGCTAAAAGGACACAGGTCAAAGGATAGGCCCCATTTACATGTGGCATGTTCTTACGCAGATTGGATTGAAATGGTTTGTTATTCTGTTAGAAAAGAGACAAACAGACCTCAGCTGTTTAAATGATGACCTTTCTGCATCTTCAATAGGCACATGTTTTACACATGGAATACAACAAACAGAAGTGGCAAAATTAACTGCACTATAATTTAATACTATTAAGCCATTAGACACTCTGGGGTCCCCAAGCCTTGGCTCTTGCCAACCTGTGCCTAATGCTTTCCAGAATTAGGTAAGCAGGATACGTTCCTCAAGGGAGAGAGTGCGCATTCCATTCCAACAATCTATCTCTGGGATTTCCATGTGTAGATGGGATACATGGAAATCTCAGCTTGGTTTGCATACTCTTAAACATGGTGATGGGTTTCCACGTGTATCAGACACCCCGCTGACCAAACAAAAAAGTCATTTGAAAGATGCTGCCTGATCATTTTTTTAAAAAACCTTTACTAATAGGATGAATGACGTTAAGTAGTGTGCTATTTAATTTTTTTAGACACACAATAAAACATCCTTCTGAATTTGTCTCAATTAAACTGGGAAATGTGACAAAGAAAACCAGATGAACTCTTCTCAGTTCATATTTGTGAATCCTGTTTGAGGGTCCAATTTACATTTGCTTTCTTTCTCAATCAGGATTTTTTCTCTTTCTCTTCACAGATCCATAGACCTGCACTACCCTCTCCACTTTTACTTTCTTCTTCTTATGACTTTTAACTATTCTTCTTTGTCTCTCTCTTGCTAAATGTCAGAAACAAATTGTCTGCTTTCCCACATTCAAACACAGACCAGTGCACATCAGTACCATTAAACACATTGTGGTTTATGTTGCATGAATTAGAAGTTACTAAGAACTACTAAAACTAAGAGCAGACCTTTTAACACTATCTGAATAAAAGTTACATAAATGCAAGCCTTCAATTAAATTATTTATTTCATATGCTAAAGACGCGTAGCAGCAGTGCAGCTTAGAGCCATAGACTATAGTCAAAGCTTTTTGTTTAAAGGATCTGGCCATTACTTTGTTGAAAATTCTATAGAAAAATCTGTAATGAGATGTGAAGAGGAGAAAAATAAATCTATCAGTTTCCCCAGAAATACAGATCGCAAGGATTTTCATATCACATTAAATGTTCTGCAGTTGCATTTTCTGCTTCCTTGTAGCCGCAACACAAAAGCAACAATCAAAAAAATCCCCTTGCTCCTCTATCCCACCCTCCTCAGTAAAAAGACTGCTGATAGAGAAGGTTGCAGAAATCATTCAAAAGCATTCAAAATATATAGAGACAGTTTCCATTGTGAACTGAAAATCTATTCATATCAAATTTGCTTAAAGCTTTACTTTCATTGACTTTTAGAATGCATAGTGAATTGTAAAAGATTTCCATATCAGATGTCTGAATACAAAAATACAAATAGAAGTCCCGAGGGAGTCAGTTGACAACCGGAAAAATGCAAACACTGCACTGGTTTAGTTAGTGTCTTCCCAGAAGGTTTTGACAGCACAAGGACAAGCTCTCATTTAAAAGCCAGTTTTTCTATTTTGACCTATTGCTTGAGTGATTAGAAGCTGCATTAAGTTACTCTGTGGGCACTGAAGACTGCTATCTCTGTATTGAATGACTATCATTAAATGCTTCAGGAGTTTTATAGGCTGTTAACCACAATCACACAACTAAATAGAAGACACTTCTACAACAAAACACCAGCCACATTTTGGGGAAATGAGCACATTAAGAGTTCCTAGTATACACACATTTGAACTGAAGCCAGAGGAAGTTATTTTTCAAGACTGCTTAAAATCTGATAAAACATTTCTATACTATTGAGGTAACAATTTGGTATTCAGAAAAAAACATAAAAATGTCCACCTTCTGCAGTAAGAAGAAATTAAAAGTAACAATCTTTCTTGCTGTATAGATTTTTAATTTTTGATTTAGCAATATAATTTAGGAATTGCACTCTTAATCACTAACCAGCAATCCTGCAGATTTTGAACGAAGAAAGCATTAGATTTAAATAAAAAGCTTCCAATTATTAAATAGCCTCCTGTCACTTGCTGACACTGACAAATGAATAAATGTCACTTGGGTGAGGTAATGGAGAGTATCAAGCCCTCAACAAATGTAACCCAGTAGAAGTGGAGAGAAAAGTCAAATATTTTCAGCAGAAGAGGGGAAGACAGAAACACTGGGGGGGGTAGTAAAATTGGCAAGTGATAGAATATTGATATTCTGTAAACCAGATTATTGACTGAGATATACATTCACAGATAGATTTTATAGTAGCATTTTTGCCTCTGAGGCAAAAGGTTGAGGGTTGAAGCCCCATACTGAGACTTGAAATTCATGTCATATAGGCTGACGATCCAATGCAGTCCTGGGGATGTGCTGCATTGACGTCCTTCTGATGGGTTGTTAAACTGAGATCCTGTTCAGGTGGACGCTAAAGGATTTCATAGCACAATTCGAAAAGAGAATAGAGTTTCTCCTGGATCTTGGCCAATACAATCTCTCAAATAATTCTGGTTATTCATTTCATGGCTGTTTGTGAGACACTGCTGTGTGCAAGTTGACTAAGGCTTTGACACAAAACATTCAGAATATCTTGTGAAGTGCTTTGAGATGTCCTCCTGATGTGAAACCTGATACCAAATGTAAGGATTATTATAAAAAAGAAGGATCTCAGTTCAAATGACAAGATTTTTTTTCCTATCCACTTGGGTCCTAAAACTATATAATAATCAAAAAGACATGAGCATGTATTATCAAACTGTAAATAATTATTTTGATTTTATTGATGTTTTATCTCTTTGGGACACTACTCGCGTGTAGAGTGCAATATAAATGCAAGTTGTTGTTGTATCTCAGGAATATTTTCTAGTTTTTCACGATTAGTTTTGAAGTCATTTGTGCTGATAAGGATTTTTAAGGGATATATGTAGGTGAGGATGACAATTGATTTGCTGGGAGACAGGGAAACAGTGGGGCCTCGTGAGGATATTAACGATGTACACATGAAGACTCTTGCAAGTTGGACGTAGATAGATGAGCTGAAGCTTGTATAGAGTGGAGCTGGGGAAGCCAACAAGGTGGACATTTGAGGTCGAAACTAGAAATGACGAAGGCATGAATGAAGGTTTCGGTAGCCTTGGGCTAATTTGTAGCTTTAGTGGGGCTACTGAGTTTGATGTAAATTAACATGCACACGTTGAAATGACACATAACACTAACGCACTGAGCTAATGACTATAAAGGTGAAATTCGCAGTTGCTAAAACCTTTAGAAACAGACCAGCTAGTGGCTGTAATTCTTACTATCAACAACAACTTGCATTTATATATCACCCTTCACACGCATAGTGTCTCTGAGCAATAGTTAAGACATTGAATCCAAATGTACCATCTTATCCCACCAAGGTCTTTGAGGAATTATAATTACAAATATTTCTGTGTAGGAAAAGAAGATGATGTTCATGCTTCTTTACTCTGAAGGTTTTTAATGCTTGTCACATTTTACTAAAAAACATCAACCTATATAGGAATTCAGCAACATCGATTCCAACACCAAAAGCAAGAGTAACTGTGGGCTCCATTGTAACAACGAATAAGTAATGTGATTAACACAACCACTCTGCTATATTAGTATGCTGTGCAAAGCTTCTTAAACTTCTATTTTTGAAAAAAAATGTCAGTTTGCTATCAGTGTGCAAGGCTTAATTAGAGGCCATTAAATGCAGATGTTGACCAGAGAATTTGTACTTCACACATTATTTTGTGTCTGGCACATGTACATTATGTACATTTACGGAAGGCTCAGAAACCATACAGTTGTCGCATTCGGGCAGCACACATTAAGCTGCAATGTCACAAACACATGTGGGTCTGCAGGTGATTTTAAAATAAAAGCACATAGGCAGATTATGACATATCTTCCTCTACAAAGCCTTTGCAGCAGTTGCAAAGGTGAGGGTCAAGATGATAGTAGCAGAAGGCCAGCTGCAAGACTAGCAGACTTCATATCTTCAATACCATACTCTCTTGCGAGTGAAGTCTGAAGTCATGCATGAAAACTGGGGGAAATTGACAGTGAAGAAAAGTCCATTCTTATCATGTCTATTTGTAAAATGTTTAGAACAGATTTGAAGCAGGTTGAGGCTTTGCCAGCCTAATAAATCAGTTTCTTAGCCAACTGTGGAAAGCTGTGGCTGAAACATCTTCCCAGCTTGAAAGGCTATAAATGTAAATTGCATTCAGTCGCCTTCAACTTGAGGAAGCCAACTGGAGGGAAGAATCATGAACAACAACAACAAAATTACATTTATAGAGCACCTTTCATGTCGGAAGGACGTCCCAAGGCACTGGACAGTCAGGGGTCAGGACCCGAGCATGGGGGAGGGGTGGGGTAGGAGTGAGGGAAGTCAGAGAGGTGGGAGGGTAACCGAAGGCACGATCGAAGAGGAGGGTCTTGAGACCGGCCTTGAAGGAGGCAAGGGAGGGAGCGAGGCAAAGGGACTGTGGGATGGAGTTCCAGAGTGTGGGGGCAGAGAGGCTGAAAGCCCGGCGCCGATGGTAGGGCAGGTTGGTAGGGAGTCAGCAGGTCAGAGACGTAGGAGGGGACAAGGCCATGGATGGGCTTGAAAGTGAGGACAAGGATCTTGAATTCGATCCTCTGAGGGATGGGGAGCCAGTGGAGTCGGGCGAGGGTGGGAGTGATGGGGTGCGCAAGAGTACACAAGCTGCAGAGTTTTGGATGATCTGCAGCTTGTGAAGGGAAG